CCAGGGGGGGCCAAGTTAGCCTCTCTTTTGATTTTAAGAACACCAAGGGATCTTAACTTGGCAACTTCTGGACTCCAAGATTTTCGCCTTTCCCGAGAGGGCTATGTGTTAGATCTTTCTTTCCATAAGATCAGGTGACTGAAAGAGACAGCAGTCAGATAGAAGGGGCCAATAAGTGGCAATAGTTCAAATGTTGTAGTTGTAAAGGCCGCAGAAAGACCCAGGAGCCCCAGATGCCCCACAAGAGGAGTCAAAAAGGTTTTTTTTTTGGGGGGGGGGGGGGGGGGGGGCAGAAAGTGAGGAGGAAAAACAGACGACAGAACTTAGAGCTGGGCGGTGAAAAGAGAAAACTTTAGAGAAGAAAAATGTCTGTCCCAGTCATGTTTCAAACCTATTGAATGAGAGGCAAACACTGTAACCCAGGCTCTAAACTCTATAGACCACGGTCAGAGCCCCCAGAAAAACGTGTTTTATTCGCTAGCTATAGATCTAGATCTAGTAAGGTTTAACAATGTTTCGTCCTCCTGCCCATGCACTGGCATGACGTGACGAACTAAGGCTAATCGACTGCACTGTCGCCTGTGCTGTGAAGAAGTAGAGGAAGGAGTGTAGTGGAGACAAACATTATACATGTAATAGGTCTATGCTATGATAATAAGCCCCAAGGATAGATCTAGATCTAGATCTAGATCTGGTCCTAGTAGGCCCACTGCATTAATTAGGCCCTTACTTCTAGACCTAGACTCTAGATCTAGATCTAGATTCAGTACTAGATTCTAGATCTAATTGACCTGGACACTGATACTAGATCTACAATCTATCATCTAATTTAGATCTAGAGATCTAGATATCTATATCTAGATTATATCTAGAATCTAGATCTAGATCTAGATATCTATATCTCTAGGATTCTAGATTTAGGTCTAAAGTCTAGATCTAGATCTAGGTATTCTAGATCTAGATCTAGATCTAAATCTAGATAGATCTCTCTAGTCTAGTTAGGCCTACACAAGAGAAAAACGATATTATGTAAGGTTAATGAAAAAGTACATGTGCAAATTCTTACATTTCAGGGTCCTTTGGAAAGCTAACTAATGCTAGGTCTGGTATTTATGCGATCTTGAATTGGCACGGACGCAGACTGCCGCAAAACACCACTTACACTTGCAGGTGACTTGCGACTGTCGATAGCCGCCATTAGCTTTGTTTACCGCGCCTCGTTTCACAATCAGCTGGTGACCTGGATACGCGAAAAGAGGCCTCGTTTCCAGTCTCTATTTTTAGTGTCTCTGATGAAACAAAATGGCGACCTCCTTGGGATTGAATGCTTTACGACTCTCCCTTTCTGTCTTGAGACCTTCGTCTTGTGCAGGTAAATCAGTGTCATGTTTCCTGTGTTCTGAGTTCATTATTTTTATCGTGATATTTTTTTGCACAGCTCAGGAGGATGTGTGTGCTTTTCAAACTAAGATCAAATTTTGCTATGACATGAGATTTCAACTTGACCCTTTTTTTTTCTATATTCTATGGCCACCTCTATTCTCAGCCGGAGTGAGAATAGTGCAGGCGAGTCTTGTGGCTATTCTCACCCGGTGCGCGTTCACCAAATTTTGCGTTCACCCTAAACCACAGAATTCTACACTGTGATAACAGAAAAATTGTAGAATTCTGTGCCGTGAACAAACGTTCCATTACAACTGTAGCCTACTAAAAGCGAACAATTTTGTCTGTGGGCAGTGGACGTGGAGAGAGAGAGAGAAAGAGAGAGAGGAGGAGTAGCGCGAGAATTTCCGGGCAAAACAAAATGGCGACCCGCGTAGTTCGGCTCGATTCGAAAAGTTAAATAGCCGTAGCATCTTTGTAGACAACCAAATTAATTTACTTTTGTGTTTTAACATAATTTTTTAACTTTGTTTTGGTCAATTTGATCGTCCACACCGATAGACAGTATTCAGAAAGAGACAGAGAGAGAGAGAGAGAAGAGGGGAGGAGTTGATCTTGCGAGAACTTCCGGGCGGGTGAGAATAGCCACTTTCTTTTTCTATTTAATAATAATAATAAAATAGCATTCGTATCTATAGAGCGCATTATGGTGATCTTATAAATACAGTCAAACCTGCCCTGATGGCCACCTCTATAAGACGGCAACCTGTACAAACGGCCACTTTCCATTTCCCCCCTTTAGTTTTTTCTATATAATTTAACTGTGTAAAACGGGCACCTGTCCAATGCGGCCGCGGCCACTATAATTGAACACACAACCCCTATCACATTAAGCAATTTATTATAACACCTGTCTTAGACGGCCACCTTATAGTGACTCCATTACGTTTTGTCATAAATTGTGCATTGGCCCCTGGCGTTGTGGGCGAGCCGTCATAATTCAATCACCTGTCGTTGTTGTTAGGTAGTCCCTCCAACCGATCATGCTGCGTTGGCCCCTCCCGCTGTTGACCAATAGCTACCAATTTTCAGCTGCTGGTGAGGTAAGCGTGTGATTCCTCATAACCCATAAGCCCCGCCCAGAACTCAAACACAAATCGTAAGTGAGATGAGTGGTCACTGTTTGCCCAGTCTGTAACAAAATAGCAAAGGACGTCAACATGAACTTGTGACAGAAGCGTCGCTCGTTCTCCGAGTGGTGCACCCATGTGTTTGTTTTAACATG